TCCTCTATGCTCTTCTGAGCCCGGAGTCCCTATAGCACCCAGGATGGGGTGGAGTGTCAGTGAATGGGCAGGGATCCTTGATGGTCACGGAGTCATTCTGAAGATGAAGGGGTGGCAGTAGGCACCGGGAGTCCTAGTCAATTTCAGAATTTCATCACCCTGTAAAGAAACACCATACTCTTTAGTTGTCACCTCCCCTCATCCTCAACCTCCCAGTCCCCAAGCCCTGTACGGCCTCTGAAGTGCTTTCTGTCTCTGTAGAGTTCCCTATTCTGAGCTTTTGAATGAATGGAACCATGTAGTACCATGTTTCCCTGAAAATAAGACCTACCCCAAAAATAAGCCCTAGCAGAATTTCTATGCATTTGTTAAATATAAGCCCTACCCTAATAATAAGACCTAGTGATGTACTTGGCACGGAGAGTTGTAAGACCTTGTACTGTCATGCATTTCAGCACCAAGAGTTGTAAGACATCCCCTGAAAATAAGCCCTAGTGTGTCTTCTTGAGAAAAAATTAAATATAAGACAGTGTCTTATTTTCGGGGAAACACGGTAAGTGTCCTTGTGTGCCTTGCTTCTTTCACTGATGTTTCAAAGTTCATCCGGGTTGCAGTACGTGTGTGTATCAGTATTTTATTCCTTTTTATGCCCAAATGTGTTCGCATGAAGTTAGGAGACAATGGAGAAGTGTTTTTTGCTTCTCCACATACCACATTTTGTTTATCCCTTCATCTATCGACAGGCACTTACGTTGTTTTCACCTAACTTATCACAAATAATGTGGCTGTGAACATTCATGTGCCAGTTTTGGTGTGGAGATATATTTTGATTTTTCTTGGGTATCAACCTAGGAGGGGAATTCCTGGGTCATGTGGTAACTTGTAACTTTATAATTAACTGGAGGAACTTCCAGACTGTTTTCTCTCCCCACCAGCAATATACAAGAGTTCTGGTTGGTCTCCATCCTTGCCCATACTTGTTAACCAATTTGGGGATTCTAGTCACTCAGGTGGTGTGAAGTGGTGTCCTTTTTATGGTTTTGACTTGCACTTTTCTGATGACTAGAGGTTTTGAGCAGCTTTTTTATGAGCTTATTGACCATTGTGTATCTTCAGAGGATTGTCTATTCCAATCCTTTGCTCATTTTGGGAGGGGTCATTCATCTTTTTTATTACTGAGTTGCACACATTTGTTCCATATGCCAGGCCCATGTCCCTTGTCAGATAGATATATTGCAAGTATCTTCTCCCATTGTGTGAGTTGTCTTCACTTTCTTGTTGTCTTTTGTAGCACAAAAGATTTAGTGTTTTTTTTTTTTTTTAAGAGACAGAGTCTCACTTTGTCACTTTCAGTAGAGTGCTGTGGTGTCAGAGCTCATAGCAACCTCCAACTCCTGGGCTCAGGTGATTCTCTTGCTTCAGCCTCCTGAGTAGCTGGGACTATAGGCACCTGCTACAACGCCTGGTTATTTTTTTGTTGCAGTTTTGCTGGGGCTGGGTTCTAACCCGCCACTCTCAGTATATGGGGCCAGTGCCCTACTCCCTGAGCCACAGACACCACCCAAAAGATGTAGTTTTAATGAAGTTGAATTTATCTGTTTTTTCTTTGTAAAAAGTCTGCATTTCCCTTTCATTCTGCTTTTTCGTTTGTTGCCTGTGCTTTTGGTGTCGTATACATATAAGCATTCTTGGCCATATCTGAGGTCATGAACATTTACCATGATATTTTCTTCCCAGACAAACCACTAAAAAAAAATCTTTCACTCACTGGTCAAGCTGCTTGAAGGGATTTGAGGTAGTGTATCCTCACGAAATCCACTGGCAGGAGTACCTTTCTGGGAAGACAGCATGGTTAAAAAGCACCAGCTCTGTAGAGCTCCAGGCTCTCATACTGTCCCGGGCACTGCCTCCATCTGGCCTGCCCAGAGGTGTGGTGTCTGGGGAGGACCCCAGCGCCTACTGCCGCCCCTTCATCTTCTGAGTGACTCTGTGGCCATCAAGGATCCCTGCCTATCTGCTGTTTATCTCTCTTTTAAATGCAGAGGCTCTGACAATCATTACATGGTTCCTGACAGCACTTAGAAACTCTTTCCACCTTAGGTGGACACCTATGTTTTTTAACTTAGTTTGTCCCAGCTTTAGTCAGAGCTTAGGCTGCCACAGCTGAGGCAGCATTTGGGGCTGTCATGCTGTGGGTAGGGCCCCTGGCCGGGGTGTGTTCAGATGCTTCTTAGTATCGCTGGGAGGCTGTGGATGCTGGGAGCCCGGGCCCTTCAGCACCTCTGTCACACAGCGCTGTGCTCTGCCTGGCACATCTGGCTGTCTCCACACGTGTCCCTTCCCATTTAGAGGCTGCAGGTGACCAAGGCCCTCCTCTTTTCTTGACCTGAGTCTGTGTTTCTTTTTCTTTCTTTCTTTTTTTTTTTCCTGAGACGGAGTCCTACTCTGTTGCCTTTGGGAGCGTGCCGAGGTATCATCATAGCTCACAGCAACGTCCAACTCTTGGGCTTAAGAGGTCCTCTTGTCTCGGCCTCCTGAGTAGCTGGGACTATAGGCCCCACCACAATGCCTGGCTAGTTGTTCTATTTTTAATGGAGATGGAATCTCACTAGGAGTTCTGGGATTACAGGTGTTGTGTTTCTTTTTCATTTGGTCCAGCCGAGTAGCTGAGCAGCCGGGTAAGGCAACCTCACTCTTGTCCAGCCTAAGGCTCTGTTGCTGGGATGGTTCACACTTAATACTTTCAGCATGTCTGAAGCTCTCTAAACCTATTTTAACTATCAGCAGTGTATTTCTGTTTATCCCACTCTTGTATGCACGTTCTTCTTGTTACCAAGTTTCTCATAATAAATGAGTCATTCATTAATAATGTGGTTGCTAAAGTTTTTTTCTTTTTGCAGTTTTTGGCCAGGGCCAGGTTTGAACCCACCACCTCCTGTATATGGGGCCAGCGGCCAACTCCTTTGAGCCACAGGCACCACTCTGATTGCTAATGTTTTTAAAAAACTGCTGGATCATTATCAAACAAGTAGTCCATTGGCAGGTTGTGCATTTTTCTTTTCTTTTTGGTCTCTAAGGTGGTCAATATCTGACTCTTTAACGCCTACATACCTTCACGTGTCCTGATATGGGAGGTACTTGGGTGGCGCTGACAGTTGCTTTTTGTTTGTTTATTTTTTAAATTACCATCTTCATTCAGTGCATATTAAAAAAATACACAGTTCGAGTAAAAAGAAAATACGCACATACACATTCTCTCTTTCACCCACCCACACCCGCACTGAAGTACAAAACTGAGTCCAGTTCCCAGCATAAAATGATGACTCAAAGCCCATTTTTTCCCCCTTTGCTCAGACAAAGCTGAATTTGGGTGGCTGGAAATCACTGACAATTACCTCACTTTGTTATAAGTATGTAAATGCAGGATTGAGTACAAAATGGCATTCAGTTGGGCAGCCACATCTCCAGATCAGTGTGACTGAGACATTCTGTCAGGCTCCCCTCCTGCAGCCTCTCCGGGGAGCGCTTGGCCTCTGAAATTAGGCCTGGAGGGCCTTCTACCCTGTCCTGCTCCCTGGATGCAAAGGAACAGGCTCTGTTTTGAAGATGTGTCTTTTCCATTAGGAAATGGTCCCCATGTACCTGGCCACCTCCCCCATCCTGTCTGAAGGGTCCTCGAGGATGGAATGCCAGCTGAAGAGGGGCACTGTGGACAGAGTCAGAGGCCTGGACCCCGGTGCACCAGCCCCCGTCATGCCTCCTGGAGAGAACTCGTCCATCGGCTCCTTAGTAAAGAAGAGAAGGAAGAGGAGGAGAAAATCCCAGCTGGATAGCTTGAAGAGAGACGACTCCATCCACACGTCTGAGGATGAAGACATGTTCCCCATCGAGATGAGCTCCGACGAGGACCGGGAGCCACTGGACGGCAGTCGGTAACTGTCGAGGACAGGAGATGGGCAGGATGGGAGACGGGGTTGAATTTATTTTCCATGATGATTGTTATAAACTCTCTTTCCTTCTGAATTTCTTGTTCTTCTGCTATGCATTTTAGACTGAATTTTGGAATTGCCAGGACCAAATCTTGTAGTGGTGTAAAGGTTTGGTGTGACTGATGGCTAAGTGACAGTGGGGAGGTCCGACCTCCCTGGGTAATGACTCCCGAAGTTGGGAGTAGAGTCAGGAAATGGGGAACAGAGCAAAAAGATAGTTCATGGCTGACACCATTTTCTTAGAATCTCCTTATTCTTATTTGAGCACCAGTTATGTACACAGCAATTGGGTTGATTTATACAGAGAGGCTCAGGGTTAACAATGAACGTAGAGCTCGGTCTTCTTTTCAAGCCAACTTTTTGATTAGGCCCAAAGTGGAATGGACATTTTGTTCTCTTCTCCTTTCCTTTTAACACTATAGTGAAATTTGATTTGTATGTAGGACTATTTTGGTTTTTCTTTAACTTTATTCAAATTAATATGAGGGTGCAATTTTTAGGTGATGTTGTTCTCACTTTCAGGGCAAGGTTCCATTTGTAGAAGAGCCCCTCACCCAGGGGGCGTGTTACACACCCTCACAATGGGCACATTAGGTGAGATCCTGCCTGGTGCCCTCCCTCCTCTGCCAAACATCCTCCCCCTGACCCTCTCCTACTTCCCTCTACCCCGGAACTGGACCATAATAGTGTTTTATTGTTCTCATGAATATGTAGTTGTTTCTATACTGATTTCATATCAGTATGGAGTACACTCAATATTTATTTTTCCATTCTTGCAGTCCTTTACTAAGAAGAACATATTTCAGCTCCATCGAGATAAATGTAAAAGATGTAAAGTCTCCATCTTTTTTAATGGCTGACTAATAGTCCATGGTATACATATCTCACAGTTTGTCGATCCATTCCTGGGTTGGTGGGCACTTAGTTTACTTCCACGACTTGGCAATTATGAACTGAGCTGCAATAAACATTCTGGTGCAAATGTTTTTGTGGCAAAATGATTTTTGTTTTTCTGAGTAGGACTATTTTGGTGGTGAAGTGCTAGTTTTAAAAGGTAAAACTAATTTTTAAAGGCTATTTGATGGTTCAGATTTTTATGTAATTCACTGTAATTTTTGATAACTTTTCACATCTTTTTAACATAAAGAAGGGATAAGAAACATCAGAGGTATTCCCTTGCTTCATGTTTCAGAATAGAACATATATATTTTTTCTAGCTGACAGTAAAGGTCAGTTGGCATCATTGCTTTCCCTAACTGCAGCCTCTGACCTGCCAGAGGCTCTGAAACTGGGTATTTGGGCTTCTTATAATTGCCTTTCCTGCATGCTGTTTAAGTCTAGAGTTTAGTGATAGATATCAAAACTACAGACAGATGACCTCCAAGTGAAAGAAACAGGGAGTCTGTGTATGTCTGAAATGAGGTGGTTTTACAATCACTTTATGATCATAAGACACATTGGGTTGATGTCATTTCTTTATTTTGCTGAATGAAACACGACATGTGCATGGGAGTCATTGAGTTACTTGGCAGGGCAGCCAGTACCTGGCCTGGGTTTCACACCACCCTGAGTTCAGTTCTGGGCGGATCTACCTTCCGAGGTTTCAAGACCGGGAAGCATGCAGACAGCAGTCTGCTACCTCAAGGAGGAGAGGGGCAGTTGAGCATCGTGTGTATGTCTGAGTCAAATCACTTTAAATTCATAATTCAGCCAGGCATAGACACAAGCACATTGATAGATGCCTCTGCCTCCCCTTCCACCCTCCATGGCCTGGACTATGCCTGGATGTTTAAAAGGAGGTCTTGATAATACACAAAGCACTTAGAGGTAATCAAGAAAAAACTGGAACTCAACTTTATTAGGAATCTATCAACTAAAAATCCTTTGACTTTAATCTTTTTTTTTTTTTTTTCCTCCAGAACTCTTTCTAATGATATGCCTCCCTTCCAAGATGATATTCCTAAGGAAAACCTTTCCCCAGTCTCCACTTATCCCCAGTCATCTTCATACCCTAATTCAGATCGAGAGTGGTCGCCTAGCCCCAGGTAGGTTGCTGTGTGTATGTGTGGGTCTGAGCATGTTCACCTGTCCCAGTGCAGAGGCTCTGAAGTCACTTTTATAGGAAGCTTGTCTAGAAAAACAGTGAAATCAAAAGTGAAACTAATTAGGACCAGAAAAGAATGTAATAGGAGGATTAGGATTAAAAAATAGAATACGGGCAGATCACAGACGTCTATCTAAGTCAGAATCCATCTGCAAATGCAGCTCTTAGCTGTGTGGAAGGGAAACTGAAAGGAAGGCACTTAAGTTACCGGACGTTGATGGTTAATAGGAGAAAACAGGGCCGCAGAGCTCTTGCTTGGTCCTAGGCCCTAAAGTGAATTTGAAGCAGAGACGTCATTCAGGGCTGTCCAGACGCTGCCTCCCTCATGCGTCATTCATTCTACTGGAATTCAGGAGCATGTATTTCCCTGAAATGGACTTGCAAGTTTGCAGGCGTCTAGGACATTTATCTGGCCCGCCAGGTGTTTTTGCTGCTGCTGCCTGTCCTGCTTAGCAGCCGACTTATCCCAGGGCCCGTAGTCCAGCCCTCCTACAGTCTGAGGAACAGTGAACTGGCCCCCTGTTTAAAAAGTTTGAGGACCCCTGCTTAGAGGTTCTGTATACACTTGAGGGTCTAGAGCTGCTCAGCTCCCAGAGTGCCTTCCTGCACTGCTCCAACCCCCTCCCTGCCCCTGAGGTCTTTACATCACTGATGCCTATGAGAATATATGAGCCCCTCCCAGTAGTTTTCCAGAGGAAAATAGTTAATTCTCAGCACTGGTGAGAATGATTGGGATGAAAATTGGTTCTTGGATGGCCTCCAAATCTTAGACATGATAACATATCTTAGACAAAATCTTAGACATAAGATTTTGGGTCTCTAAAGGGTCATAGCATTAAAATCTCATGGTGGCAGGCCATTCATTTCTCAAAATACTTGAGAGTGTGGTGATAATGAGGAAGAGGTTGGGAAACACCGGTCTAAATGACAGTGGCAGCCAGAGTTATTCTCAAGGGTAACTTGACAGGAAACCCTCTGACAGTGCTCAGTTCTACATAATCTGACTCAGTTATTCTGGATTCATAAAGAAAAACATTAACGACAGATAGATACGGGCACAGCTATGTTTAAAATGTTTCTTTTAATTTCTCTTAAATTTAAAAACAGCCCCGTTTGTCTGTCTTTAATGCTTTTTTAAAGTGAATCAGAATAATAACCGAGCCAGATTATGTGGACCTGACCACTGTCAAATGGAATTACCAGTTAGGGTACAGAGATACAGTTCTGTACTCAGAATTCCATATTTTCTTTGAAGAGAGTTGACAGCACAGATAATCAAACCTTGGAATTACATGGTTTGAATAAGCACTAAAGTGTGATCAAAGACAGACTGAATCTATTACGGGCACGTGGATGAAACAGAAAGGGAAATAGCTCTTTCGGCAGCTTCCTGTTTCTGTTGCTCAGAAAATTGGTGTTGATTTCTTAGCAATTTCAGCGGACTGTCCTCTGCTGTTGTCAGATGCCTGAGTATTTCTGTTTTCTTACAAGTGTCATTGTTGAGAGTAGTTAAATAATTTATATGAAATCCCATTGAATCTAATTGACCTATGACTTTGTTTTCTTTCTTTTAATGTGTATGTGATGTCCAGTAACCTGGTAGATTGCAAAAGGACTCCCCCCCACCTTGCAGTCGCGGCCGAGGGAGGCCTGTCTAGTTCTTGCCCTCCACAATCCTCCTACTTTCATTCTTCGGAAAGGTAGCTGAGTTATTTTCCCCACTCACTTGAATAACGTATTCAATAATGAAAATTCTGATCTAACTCTTCTAAGTCTATTTTATCATTAACCCAATTACTTCTGGAGAACATTCCTATACAAAGTGAAAAATTTGACCTAACTCTTACCATCTACTTCACCAACTAACCAAATTACTCATGAAGACAAGCCGTAGAGAGCATTATTTTCTTTCGTCTTAACACTCGTAGATTATTCGATTTTTTTTTTTTTGAAGTCCTGAATTTGATTCTCTGGAAATTGTGTTTAAGTATATCATTCTACCTAACTCTATGGAGCGCTTTAAAGATAGAATAATAAAATAGAGATTGGGAATGCAATCTCCTGTATCTAGGGTTGTTTGACAAATAAGTTCACAAGATATTTTTGGATACTTCTTTAGTATAAGTCATTTACTATAAATATTTAAATAGCTCACTAGGCTGTCTGAATAATGGAGTTAGATATTGTCCACAGAATTTCTAAAAGAGAATTTTGGAGAGTAGTAGTTGGGATCTCAGCTTTAGGGGCACAGGTTTGATTTTCATCTGATGCTGTTACCTGAGGGTTTTGCCTTAGGTTTTAACCTGCCTACATTGTAGCCATCAGTAGTTTACTTTACAAACCCTAGCAAATGAAGCGATGGTTAATACCTAAGTGGAAAATATTTTTCTTTTTGATTAAAGAAGGGTGTACTTCATTCAGTGTCACATATGCAAAAGAAAGGCCATTTTAAAATGAGAACGAAGTTATAAACAATTAGCTAATTTGCCTTTTTGGAACTGGCACAATTACTGACCACTATTATTAGGCTAATTAATACCTTATTTATAAAAATTGGTGACCTTGTAAGCTTACTTTTTAAATAACCTTTGATTTTAAAAGTCGAATTACTTGATACTAAGGCATTTTTGGAATCAAGTTTCTGTTAAGTCACACTCAGTGTGGGGACCCATCCTCAGGCCATCCTCAGTCTGTCTGAGTTGTCAGTGACCAAGGGCAGAAAGTACATGTGTATTTGTGTACAGATTCCTTTAGAGAAAGCGTGCTGTGGGCAGCAACTCTGGTGGTGGTGTATTTCGTGCGAGAGGTGGGACTTCTAGCTTACGACTTTCACACGGGCCTTGCTTCTTTAATTGTGTGCTCTTGCAAACCCGAATGCCTCTACGGAATCCCTGTGGGCGGGGGCTTTTATGAAGGACCCAGAATGTTAGGAATCTCGGAGTGGGGAGGTGCAGCAGGAGATCTGTGTTCAGCATTTTCATTCTTTCCGAGCAGAGGTTGGCAAACTACAGCCCATGGGCCAAGTCCAGCCTGTCCTCTGCTTTTGTGAAGTTTTACTGGAGCACAGCCAGTTGCTTTATATATTGGCTACAGCGGTTTTCATGCCACCACAGCAGAGTTGAGTAGTTGCGACAGAGATTAGATAACTCACAAAGCCCAAGATATTTCCCACTGGGCCCTTTACAGAAAACGTTTGCTGACCCCTGCTCCACAGCAAGCTCGGTCTAAAGGGCTTTATTTAATTTGTTGTCAGTAGGTAAGACAGTTTGTTATTCTAAGGAACTGATAACAAAATATAAGCTATATTTTATCTGATAAAATATGATGGCAAGAACTTTTTAAACAAGTATGTTGAGGTTTGGGGGCTGGTTAGCCAGTTAGGATGGACTTCTGTGAGGAGTCTGGAGAAAGAGTGGGTCCAGATCACAGGTGCATGCATCAGGGCCCCTCACGGAAGGTCACAGCACTTCCATTTTCTGTTACACTGGTACTGTGGAGGCGTCAGTGCCAGGAGAGCATTGCTCCTTTGGAGAAAAGTCTTAATGGTAGAAGGAAGAGATGTTGGAAGGCAGGCTATGCAGACACACGTGGGGCCCAGCAGCCCTTCTCAGGGGACAGCTTCCCAAGGGCAGGAAAGCGGATGTGTGTTGGAGTGGGGCGTCCTGGTGTACAAGCTCTCAGAGTGTGGCGCCCAGGGTACCTGCTCTCCACAGACAGGTGAGATGGAGCATGAGGGGGCCTTGAGATGGATCAGTGGTCAGTGAGTGCCCAAGGAGAAGGGACCAGCTGTGTGCGCCTCAGCGGGAAATGAAGGAGGGACAGCGCTTGATCTGTCTGCTTCAGGTGGCTTGACCAAGGAGATGCAGGATCAGTTTATCCAGTAAGACCATGCTTACTGGAGACAAGCTCTGTGTCACCCTGAGCTCACCTCGCACTGACAGGAAAGACCAGTTGGAGTCAAAATCTGACTCAAACAGATAAATGAGACAGAGTACATGAGAGGTCACTGAGAGACTAGATAAGGACCGTGGGAGACGACGTAGGGGAAATTGTGGTAGCTTTATTTCCTGTCTGTTTGAGAACTGCCATCTTCTCTAGAGGAAATGGTGCAGGAGAATAAAGACAAGCAGCAGTGAAATGCATTAGTGTGTTGCAATAAGTAATTGCAATAACTTTTGCTATAAATAATGAACATTTCCACATGTTGTTAAGAATCCTGAGTATCTTGTGGATAAGTTGATTATGTTTGGGTGGTTACAAAGTGAGACTTTGTTTAGTTCTGAAGAGTAAAAACAGAGCTGAGCGAGCACGTGGAAACCAAGGAGAAGGCAGCCGGACAATTGAACACCGTGATATGTGCTCACAGAACGAGCCTTAGCTAACTGTGGGTCCTGTGAAGTATTCCTGGAAGATGCGATTTTATAAAGTCTTTACTTGGAGTTTATTTGTGGATTGAACGTGTGATGTAACTCTGTTTCCACAGCTAGTACAGATTTACAAATGCCTTAAATGTAGAATACGGCAGATGCATATGAGAGCTGGCCAAGACCCTTTCACAGGCATCTGAGAGTTGAGACTCTTGATTTGGCAATTAGGAGTGCAGGAGAGGAGAGCTCAGGGTGAGGTGAGCTCAGGGTGAGGTGAGCTCAGGGTGAGGTGAGGCAGGTGGAGGTTTTGAGGTAAGAACAAACTCGTTTTCCTTTCTCTTCTCTTGTCTCTCTCTTTCTTTCTGACATTCCTCTTCTAGGCTACTTATTCTCTCCTCTTCTTTGGGGTCGGCAGCAGGCTGGGGCAGGGTACCCAAATTGGGAGCACCTGTCTAGATTAGTGGTTCTCAACCTTCCTACTACCACAACCCTTTAATACAGTTCCTCATGTTGTGGTGACCCATGAAATATTTTTGTTGCTACTTCCTAACTGTAATTTTGCAGCTATTATGGATTATAATGTAAATATCTGATATGCAGGATGTATTTTCATTGTTACAAAGGGGTCGAAACCCACAGGTTAAGAACCGCTGATTTAGATGCTGATTGCAGTGACCTCTGGTGGCCAAAGGGAGGGATATGACCTGAAGCTCTGCTCATAAGGAGGTGGCAGGTTGGGTGCATTTTCTGGGTTATCTGAGCCTGGATCTGGGCCAAAAACATTTTTAAAAGTTTTTTTTCCCCCCACTTTAATCATGGTTTTGTATTTGCTTAAGTCCTTCAGGTTCCCGGCCTTCAACACCTAAAAGTGATTCAGAGTTGGTCAGTAAGTCTGTGGACAGGACGGGGCAGAAGAGTAACCTGGAAATGCTCTGGCTTTGGGGAGAATTGCCACAAGCTGCAAAGGTAGGTCTGTATCTGCAGTTCTGCCACACACTGAGGATTTCTAACTTAGCTTAAATCACATGGAATTAGTATCCTGTCATGGCCAGGAAACATAACTTCCAGGAGTTGGAGGTAAATGATAACATCTTCTGAACCCCAGAATTGCATTCTCCCCCATCACTAACTTTATCAAGGGCTCTCATTATATTTATGTATTTTAAACATAACAGGAATACTCTCAGGCTCTAATTTTTTTCTAAAATCAGAACAAAATACAAGTAAATGTAAAAAACTACAACTTACACACAAATCCTGCTGTCTTCAAGCTGTGAACAAAAATACCTCCCAGTTCTTACTTCTTAGAGGCCAGAGATGATGGGTGAGAAGTCCCAGGGAGAGAGGCTTGGGAGCCAAGTCTGCGGAATGACAGGCCCAGTGAGTTGTAAAAACTGAATCTACAGGCTTGTGTGTCCCTCCCAGAGAGATGCTTCTGGAAGGGCACGGGCAGGGGGAATGGCTAGTAAAGCAGAAATGACAGATTTGGGCCTATTAGGACATCAGGATATTTTAAGGCTTTGATTTATCAAGTAGCAAGGATGTATGACCATTATTATTGGTGTGGCCCCAAATTTGAACTTGAGGGGATCTCCAGAAGAAATAGAGAAACAGCTGTGTGGTGAGACACTGAGGGCCTGGGCGGCAGACTGTCTTGGGATAGGATCCCTATTCTACCAGTTGCTAGTAAGGTTACCTTAGGCAAATCAGTGGGCCTCCTTGAACCACAGTGTCGTCATTTATAAAATGTGAGGAAACAACAGATGCTGCTCAGAGTTGTCGGGGGCTTAACAGGGATAATGTGTCACGGAATGCCTGGCAGATTTCTTTTTTTGCAGTTTTTGGCCCGGGCTGGGTTTGAACCTGCAACCTCTGGCATATGGGGCTGGTGCCCTACTCCTTTGAGCCACAGGTGCCGCTCAGGCAGATTTCTTTAAATTTTCGCATCCTTTTTCCTTGGCTGTACCGTCTTCACACTGAGTCTCATTTTCTCCGTCTTCAAAATGCAGCAAGTTCACATGCAGGCACATAATCAGAACGGCATATAGGTTTCTGGAAGCATGATATCTTTTCCTTCAAGGAATTTTATTTCATATTCCAGTGTATTGTGAACATCTTGAATTACATTGCAACCTTTTCTTTTTCCTTTAAATATTGTAAAGTCCTAAGAAGATGCTATAGCCTCTTATATCCCCAGTAAATGTTTGTAGTATGAATGAACGACTGAATGAATGAAGATTGAACACATTCCTGGTGCAACCTGAGTTGGGGGACATTTTGGAGATCAGATCGGTTGAGGCTGAAGTACAGGATGCATGTCCTCTCCAGGTGATGGTTCACCTTCACAGCAAATGCTGATTTCTCCACCCACAGCTGCAGAGTTGACACAGCGATTATCTTAACAAATTCATGTCGTTAGTTGCTGGAGAAACAGCCTTAAAGTGCAAAGCCATCACATCTTCTGGCAAAACAGTTCTAACCACAGATCTACTATAGCATTATTTTCACTTGTGATAGAAGATGAGAGATCAGACAGAAAAGAGAACGCTTTCTGCTCCCTTTCTATACCATAAACCACTTTTTTTTTTTTTTTTTTAAAGAGACAGAGTCTTACCTTATTGCTCTCAGTAGAGTGCTATGGTGTCATAGCTCACAGCAACCTCCAACTCTTGGGCTTAGGCAATTCTCTTGCCTCAGCCTTCTGAGTAGCTGGGACTATATGTGCCTGCCACAACGCCTGGCTATTTTTTGTTGTAATTTGGCTGAGGCTGTGTTCGAAACTGCCACCCTCTGTATATGGGGCCGGTGCCTTACTCACTGACTGCGCCACAGGCTCTGCCCTAAAACTATTTTTTTTAGTTAAATTATAACTGTGTACATTAATGCATTTATGGGGTACAATGTACTGATTTTATATACACTTTGGAATGCTTACATCAAACGGGTTAACATAGCCTTCACCTCACTTAATTATTGTGTTAAGACATTTATACTCTCTTAATAGATTTGACATGTACCCTTGCAATATTTTTATTTTTGAATAAATCTTCTCTATAATTGGAAATCCCTCTGGAGGTAGATTCAGAAATACTAATGTCCCACTCCTATGAACCACTCTTACTTACACACTCTTGTTTTGGGAATAAACTTGATGAAATATAGCACACGTGCAGGGAGACACAGTGTAATGCACTTACACAATGGGAACAGATTGTGCACCTTGCACCTAGATTGAGGTGCAGAACATGCTGCACCTCTGCCCTCCACAAGGATAAAAGTGACCTTGACTTCTCATTGCAGAGATTAGCTTTGCAAGATCGGGCCACACTGTTGCATGTAGTTGGAATGCCTGTATTCCCATTGCTGCAGAATGCCCCATTGTCTGACGGTACTTCCCATTCTGCTGTTGGGTTTGGGTGGCTTAACCCTCCCTCTGGTGGGTTTTTTAAAAATTCTCTCCTCCCTCACTTCTGTTTGTGAGTTGGTGTTTTATGTGAAAGTGCATTTGCTTTGGAACTAATGTTCTTGGTTTTCTGCACCCTTTGGCAGGTGTGGAAATCCAGATGAAACCTGAGGTTCAGAAGTCTCTGCCACAGACTGTGGACTGCCCCTGTGCTCCCCCTTATCCACTCAGTTTCCCTGCCTGCCTGTGCTCTGACCTTCTTTCTCCTCTCTCCCTCCCTCCATCTTTGATCTAGTCATCTCCACACAAGATGAAAGAATCCAGCCCATTGAACAGTAGAAAAATTTTCGACAAAATCCACTTTCAGACCATCCAGAGCGAATCTTCAGACACTTTCAGTGACCAGTCACCAACATTGGCCAGGGGGCCGCTTCTGGACCAGAGCCAGTCTCAGACAGAAATGCAGTTTGTGAATGAGGAGGACATCGGGGCCGTCGGGGTGACAGCACCACTTTCCCCTGCGATTGAGGAACTCAAGCCCCCCTCTGCTAGCATAGTCCAGGCAGTGAATAAGGCGGATTCTCCTTCTAGGAAAAAAGGTATGAAGGCTGGGGCTTCTCGCCTTTCTTCCTATTCAGTCTTTGCCTTTATTCTACAAATTATAGATCCTTCTTTCAAAAGTTTCAAGAAAATCAAGGTCGAAGCAGAACCTTGACGATTGTCATGTTCTTTTGCCAAATATATTAATTATCAGAATTTAGTCATGAAGGATTATCATCTGTGCTCTTTTGTTGAATATATTAATTATCAGAATTTGGTCATAGAAAACCAGATGTGAAAGGAGGCCTTGTGGGGATCATGTAATGAACCTCCTCATCTTACAGATCAGGGGCAGTGAGATCCAGGATACTGTGGGACCCCAGAAGGGTGCTCTTATGAAGTTGATTATTAGGCTAATCTTAGTCTTTCCTCGCCTCAGGTTGTGTGCATTCTAGCGCATTATCCCACTTAAATTTCTGTGTCATTTCTCACTAGTTTGCTGCACACCTGGCTGCGTGTCAGGGATGCTGATGGCGGGACAGGTCTCTGTTAGCTGGGCCACTTTGTTGGGTGTTCTAGATCTGTATAAACTGATTACATAATTCTCTGCCTGAAGTAGAGAGAAGTTTGAAACCCTAGTGTGTTATGCTGTCTGACACTGCATGATTTAGGATGTTGTGCATTGGAGCTTTGATGGGGAAGTGCTTTAGGAAAGCTTTCATCAATTAATGGTAACGGTAGTAGCTTTACTCTTCTGAGTGCTTAGGGTGCACCAGGCACTTCCCAGAGGAGGAGCTGAGGCTCAGCAAAGTGGCAGAACTTGGCCCGGGCCACATGGCCGTGAGTTGGGGTCCAGCAGGCTCACCTGCAACGGTGTTGGGCCGCCTGCCTCTAACTGGCTGATCCTGGCCCCATCTGGGTGCTGCAGAGCGAATGTGTACGCTGTGCTTACATGCTGTCTGTACAGGTTCACGCCCCTGAGGTCGTTTGTGAGAGTGGTTTTCTGACGTGAGCCGTTTACTCTTTCAGATAAACGAAGTAGGCACCTGGGCTCTGATGGCGTCTACTTGGATGACCTGACGGATATGGATCCTGAAGTGGCAGCCCTGTATTTTCCCAAAAAGTAAAATTCCTCTGATACCCTCATATCATTTTCTATAATCTGAATATTAATCTGCCTGAGTCCCGTTTTCGCTTATGTTTAAATAGAAAGTATGTGAGAAAAAGGCAGCAGGTGGCTCACCTTCTACTGTGAAAAGCCACCAGGGAGAAGGCTCCGGTCTGTCTGCAGACGTGGGTGGCGTGTGGCCGAAACGCCCCCTTCCAGACGGGGTTGCAGGACAGGGATAGAGGCAGGAGCTGGCGGTGGCC